CAGGGGTGAGGGGTAGAGGGGGAGCAGCATACAACTAGAAGGTCAGCTCCTTGTGGGCAGAGTCTGTCCTGTTCGCTGCGGCATCCCGGAGCGTGGACAGGCACCTGCAGGATTCGTGCGTGCTCGCTGAGTGAACCGTGCCGTCCCCCACAGAATCATGGAGAACGGGCAGGAACGGGTAGAAGTGGAAGAAGACGGACAGCTGAAGTCAGTCACAATCAATGGTGAGGAATGGCTCTGCCACCCAGTCCCTGGCAGGAAGCCCCAGGCCCAGGCCCCAAGGCCCCCTCCAAACTGCTCCTCTCGGAACTCCTTTGGGGCAGGGAAGGAATGGCGGCCACAGGCCCCACTGGCAGAATCAGAGATGGGGATCCCCGGGCAAGGGCAGGGAACTGAGGAGTCTCAGAGGGCCAGCCGATCACCATCATCCTTAGTGGGTGCCCGGGGTTTGCAGAGCATGGACTATTTTGAAAGCACTTGTGCGCATAACATGAGCTCTGTATTGAAGCAGGCAAGGGGAAGGCAGGGCTTTGATATTGGCCCTATTTTTCATGTGAGGAGACTGAACCTCAGCATGGTTAAATGGCCCTAACTCCCAAGTAGCCCCAGGCCCACGGCCTTGTCCTACTTAGTAAGGGGTAAAGCCATGAGTGACCCGCAGGATGCAGGATTCCTGGGGCGGAACCCTTCCCACAGTGTCACGCCGGATGGGATGGTCAGCGCCGCGCCCCTTCCCTGCTTGCCGCCTCTGAGTGCGCTTCCTGGTCTGTCTTATTTAGTCATTGGAACAATCGGACAACGTAGGCACTCTCACCGTTTCCATTTTATAGATGAGGAAAGCGGGGCTTAGGGAGGTTGAGTGACTTGCCCAAGGAGACAGCTCGTATCTGCTGGCGCTGGGTACCTGCCCACGCACATGACCACCATGCTAGGTGCCAGAGTGCATGCGTGCCGGTTCCAAAGGAGGGGCTGTAAGCGGTCAGAGTTGCCACTGCATGAGGCAGCCTGGCCTGGTTCCCCTGGCCTGGGTCAGAGGGCTCCATGGTGGCCATGACTCCTACAGGTGTCCCAGATGACCTAGCGCTGGGCTTGGAGCTGAGCCGTCGCGAGCAGCAACAGTTTGTCACCTCCAGGCCAGGGGGCACACAGGTCCGGCAGACTCCTGCCTCCCGCACCTCTGACAGCGACCTCTCCGAGGATGATGAAGACCTGCAGCTCGCCATGGCCTACAGCCTGTCAGAGATGGAGGCAGCTGGGAAGAAACCAGCAGGTGGGCGGGGGGCGCAGCGTCGTCGGCAGGGGCTGCCCAAGGCCCAGGACCAAGATCCCGGCGTGGGGGGGACCCCTGAGGCTGCAAGGGGGGATGCGGCCAAACCCAGCCCATCCCCAGAGGAGAAGGCCTCTCGCTGCCTCATCCTCTGATCACCAGGCCCAAACCACCCTGATTCAGGGCGACCGGGGGGGTCCTGCTCACTGTCAGGAGCAGAGGGGCAGGGCCTGAGTTGCAGGGGCCCTTCTCCAACTCAGTGCTCCCCCAACAGGTTTCCCTCCCATGTCCACTTGCACTCCAGTGTGGACTCGGGATTTGCTCTGCTCAGCCCACAGCTGATAGGTCCCTGGCGAAGCCCAGGGTGGGGAGCCTCCGGGCAGTGGGAGGGCCTCCCAGGAGCCAGGATGCACTTAACTCCTATTAGATCGGGAGTTTCTAAGGGGCATTAGTGGTTTGGGTCGGGCCTTTTGTGCCCAGGTCTTCTGCCACCTGTGTTGCTGATGACATCAAGGAAGGAGGACTTGGCCTGGGGTTCTCTGAGCCGGAGTTGGCAGCTACACCAGGGAGTCTCCCGTGCTCCTTGTCCAGCTGCAGACATCCCACCCTGGTTTCGGTGCAGCATCGAGCTCTGACGTCTCTGTTGCTTCCCTTCTGGTGCTGCTGCTCCTCCCTCGCTCTCTTCTCTCTGCACTTGCCCGCGGGCCGCGTCGCTTGCTTTCACTGCCATCTGGCTAGGACTCCCTTCTTCCTTCCCCAAGAAAGCCTCAGTGTGACCAGGAAGATGCTGTGGCCGGTAGGGCCATAAGGTCTTCTGGGGAGGCTAGCTGGGTGGGGCGGGAGCCTCTCCTCCAGATTCGGAACCGGAGCCCCCTCCTCCTCCCTTCCTCTTGCTGCCTCAGCCTGCCCCAAGCCTCGGGACTAGGCAGAGGTGAGGCTGGCTATCCCTGGAGAGGTGGGATAAGGCCAGGGTGCCCCAGGAGGGAGGCCTAGGAGGGGACTGTACCCCGTCCTATTTCACCATGCATCAGGGCTCAGGGAGAGGCCACAGGGCTAGCCCAGGTCTGCATGCTCAGCTCCATCCTCCACGGCTGGCTGCTGACCCTGTCTCCTGTCACCCCGCCCCCGCTCTCTCCTCAGATGTGTTCTGAGCTGGATGTCCGGGATCCACAGCCGCTGCACAGTTCCAACAGGACAGCGCCCTCCCCTGTGCGCTGGGAGGGTACCCTCCATTCCTCTCCCTCACCCATGCTGAGCGTAGAGCTGGGCCTGGGTGGTGGGGGGGGGCCGGGTGGGAGGCATCCGTAGTCTTAGCCTGTGAACTCTTCCCTGTTGGGTGCTGTCTCTTGGGGACTACAGGTCCCAGAATGCAACACACCCTGCCTCGTTTCTGATAGATCACGCTAGGGGAAGCGGTGTGTGGTTGTGGAGCTGTGCATCTTGGGACATGTAGTTCTAGCCCAGGTCAGCTTGTCACTCGCTGTGAGAAGGGGAGATCTTGTCATCTGATTTGACTCTGGCAGGGGTGGCAAGAATGTGGATGAAGGGGTAGTGGGCCAGGCTTCGGTTCCCCTGACACCTCTTGCTAGTGCCGGGCTTAGAGTGTACAAATCAAAGCCCTGCGGCACCTGGGAGAGGCTCTTCTCCTGTGGGCAGTCGGAACAGGCCCGGATGGGATGGCCAAGCAGGGTGGGGCCCCAGAAGGCTGACTGATGGGCGTAGGCAGGCAGAGAGCTTGGAAGGGGAGGCCACCGGTGTGGGAGTGTTTGTGTTTGTGTGTGTGTGTGAGAGAGAGAGAGAGAGAGAGAGAGCACGCATGTGCGTGGCCGGGATTGGTGTGTAATGGGTGCTCCAGGCATGTTGCTGCTTGTATGGCTTCTTTGGCCTCTGACCCTGCTGCCCATTCTTCTTCTCCACCACCACAAATGAGCTGCCTCTCCTCCTCCCTGCCTGGGGAGCCCCGTGGCCAGGGAGGGGAGCGGTGGAGCCAGGGTGTTGCTAGCCCTGTGACACTGCATCTCAGAGACCTATCAAAGCCAGCTAGGCTGAGCTCAGACGGAGAGAGAAACACTGGAAGTCAACAAATAAAGCTGTTTTGAGCGCTCGGTGGTGTGCTGTGTTCCCATGTTCTTCCTTTCCAGGGTGGCCCCAAAGGGGACCCTACGGGACCAGTGGGTGACGTAGCCCCCTCTATTGCCCAAACACCCAGAGGTCACAAGGCTTCCCAGATGACAGCAGAAGTCCCCCCCCCCCCCCCCTTTGACCAGGCTGCCCTCCCGAGTACATTGTTGAGTCCCAAGAAACGCTCACGTTCTTCTGCCCTCACCTTCCCCAGGCAGCCGCTGCTCGCCTCCCTGGAGGGGACCCACCATCCACTACTCTGCCCCACAGCTAGGACCGGACTAAGTTACAACTCGACTGCAAGTATGGGAATGACCGAAAGTAGGGAATACGTGGTGAAAACTTGTAAAAACTACTCCTGAGGCCCACAAACTGAGCCCCTCCCCGGGTTGCCTTACCTCATGGCCGGTGGCCAGTCTCAGAGGCCTGCCTTTCCTATATGGAGCGAGCGGTCCAAGTCCACCCCACACAGGGTCCAGGCCCCAAACTCCTCAGGACCTAGGGAGGAAAGGGCCAGGGACCTCCTCCTTCCTTCTCTCTAGACACCTTCGGAGATGCCCTTTCAGCCACGGAACAAACAACTCTCCATCGTCAAGCAGAGCGCCATGGCTCCCCGGCGACTCTCTCTTCCATTCCAGGATAAGTGCCTAGCTTCGTCTTCAACAGCTGAAGGGCCTGTATTGTACTTTTCTCAAAGCAAGGAAGCAGCCTGCGCTGAAAGAGGCACTTCAGGCCTCTATCTTGAAAGAGAAGCTGCTGGAAGTTTCTAACATGGCTGTTTTGCCCACTTCTAGTCTTTGAGATGTCAAACACTGGAGCGGAGCCTCAGCGGAGCACAGGTGAGGTGTAGGGAGACCTGTGGTCTGCTCACTGGTCCCTTTGCTCCCTGTGCCGGGCAGATGGGACCACCCCCCACCCCCGTTTTTCATGTGAGGGGACAGCTTTGCCAAGGTTAAATGTTCCTAATTCCCAAGTGGCTCCAGGCCCAAGGCTCTTTTGGCCTCACTTCTGTGCCCACCAGGACACATTTCTGTGTCCAAGGAAGCCTCCTGACATGCAGGTGAGGGCTCCCCTGGGGCCCTACAGGGAGGAGGGTTGGGGGAGGGGGAGAAAGTGCCCCCTGCCCCCAGCTGGATGGATGCCTGTTGTGACGTCTCACAGGCCTGGTCTACAAGCTGCTATCGGAGTCTAGCTAGTTTTGCTTGTGGTGGGCCAGGCACTTGGCCTGCCCGAGGTACATTCTCCTAAGGCTGAAGAACACGAAGCAGCTGCTCACGAACTAAGAGGAGAGGCAGTAAAGAGGTTAAGCATGCCGGGCTTTGAATCCAAACTCCACTATATGCAACTGGGGTTACCTCGGGAGAATGTTCTGGGCTACCGATGGGGTAGCATCACGGTGAAGCTGTGCGTGGGAGCACCTGGGAAACTGCCAGCCCCAGGGGAGGCGCTGCGGAGGGACAACCGCCTCGGTCCTGGCTACCATTCAAGCCTCGGAGAGCCAGACTCCGCAGCCTGGCTCACCCGGCACTACCTGCGTCTCCCGAGCAGCGCAGCGGGGCCCGGCTCCTCACGGGGCCTGGAGATGGAGGCTGGCAGCAGAGACGACGACAAGTGTAGGAGTCCGGGTGGCTGCACGCACGACACACTAACTTTATTCACATTGATACAAAAGTAGATTTCTCTAGAAATGGTCTCTTGTGCCAGAGGGCGAGAGTGGAGTGGCACGTGGCAGGAGGGCAGGGGAGGAGGCCTGAGGAAGGCAGGGAGGGCAGGGGCCAGAGTGTGGGCCAGAGAGGCAGGGCGGCAGGCAGCAGGGGCTGGACAAGCAAGAAGGGCGGGGGTGGGGGGGTGGCAGGCCCTCTACCCGGTTCCGTCCACACGGGCATCCTGGGAGCTCTCGGAAGAACGGGAGCTGGGGGCCAAGGAACTCAGGCAGGAGAAGGCTCTGGGTGGAGGACTTTCCTCTGCTCCTGGCTGGCTACCAGCCCCCCACGCCCCCATGGGACTTCCCGGGGGTAGGTCCGACCCTTCCCACATCCTCTTCTTTACACTTCTCTCGGACGACTGGCCATGCCCCAGAGGGACCGAGGCGGTGGGGGCGGGGGGTGAGGAGGGGGTACACAGATAGATGCTCACACAGGCAAAGAGGGAACAGAGGCTGGTCTGCCCACTGAGGGGCCCCAGGGGTCTCACTGGGGCAGGGCCTTGAGGATGGCGTTCACCTCCTCCGCCACGGCTGTCAGAGCAAATTCAAACTGGTCCTGGGGAAGGGCAGGGGGAGGATGGTCATGGAGAGGGGGTGCGGGCTTTTGGAAGGGGGAGCCGGGGAGGTCACTTGGGTGAGGGGGAGTCCTCCTGGGGAAGGTGAGGGCTGGTGGGGGAGGCAGGCTGTTGCTGGCCTCCCTGGGGGAGGCCGGCAGCTCGGGTCAGCACAGGGAGGAACAGTCACCTTAGAGCGGACGAGGCCAGGCCGTTGGTCACGGACGTGCTCCAGGGTGGCAGCGATGTCGATCTCCTTTACTCCTGGAGATTGAAGAGGGCACAGGGCTGCTCAGGGGTTGTCCAGAGGAGGAGAGGACCCAGAAAGCCTGGAGCGTCCTGGGCTGGGAGGCTTAGAGGACTGGGCAAAGCCCGGGGGTGTGATAACCGGTCCCTCCAGGAGCTCCCGTGAGCCTGGGTGCTGGGACAGCTCATCGGGGCGGGGCTGCGGGTGGTGGGGAAGGCCCTCACCTTTTGCCATGCGGTTCAGTACCATGTCAATGAGGATGTAAGTGCCAGTCCTCCCTGCACCGTCGCTGAAACGAGAGATAATGACAGGCTCAGCTTGGGACCAGCAGAAAGGGGGAGGGGCAGAGGAGACAGGGAGGCTTGGGGTGGGGAAGATACTGGCGGGGCCGTTTAGGCTGGGCTCGGGGAGGGCATGAGTGAGCTGAGGAGGCAGCGATCATAGCCCCTGGGCCCTGGGAATTGGGCCTTGAGTGGGGAACCTGTGCCCCACGGGGTGTCACTTGGGTAGTGGGCCAGCCTAAAAGCAGAGCCCTGGCTCAGTCCTAAGGTGGAAACAGCCAGAGGGGATGGGAATGGCCCTTTCCAGCCTCTGGCCAGGCTTTGGTTCAGGAAACTTTTTTCTTTTTTTTTTTCTTCTTCTTTAACCATTTAAAAATGCGAACACCAGTCTTAGCTCATGGGCCATTGAAAAAAAAACAGGTGGTACGTTAAACTTGGCCCTTGGGCTGTCGTTGGCCAGCATCAAGGGGCTAGGCAGGCAGCATGCATGGGAGATGTGCCCAGGGCGGAGGACCAGCGAGAGGGGCGGGAATCAGGAATGCCCCACCTCGGGGCCCTCTGGCCTGGGCTGCCCTGTCCCCTGTGATCCCCACCCCTGCCCCCAGCTCGTCCGCACGCACCTGCAGTGCACAATGATGGGGCAGGAGCGGCCCCGGTAGCACTTGTTCACTTTCCTGCAACAAGAAGTGGGTGTGAGGGCAGGGAGACACCAGCACACCCCTGGGGGCCTTTCTTTCTTCTTCTCCCTACGTGCCCAGGGCAGAGGAGGGAAGGGGGCTGGAGGAATGAGTCAGGGCAGGAGGCAAAGAACCAGAGATGGTGTGGGTGGCCCTGGGCTTGCCTTGTCACTTAATGAGCTAGGTGCCAAGCGATGCACCTGGGAACGGTTGACTTGGCCTCTTTGAGCCTCAGTTTTCTTGTCTGTAAAGTGAGGGTGATAATAATAGTAAACCTCTTCTTAGGGTTCTCACCGTGACTGCGTGAGATAATCGATGTAAAGAATTAAGCATAAGGCATACAGTGGGTGCTCAATAAATGGTAGTACTATTAATGATACTACATCATATCAATAGCCACCTCTGCTAAAGTCCAGGGAGAATAGGCTCTCTGGTGACTTCAAGGGTGTCAGTCTTGTCACCTTCCTGCTCTGCCCCTCTGCCCTCCTTTACAACTGCCCAGGCTGTTCCCCTCCCCACTCAGGCCCTTGTAGTCCTCACTAGCAATGAGGTCAGGTAGCCATAGGCACAAAGTTCTTTTGACCAGGGGAAGACAACCTCTCAGCTCTGAATGTTATGCGGCTGTCTGTCTCCCAGAATCAGCCTCATCTCAGCACAGGTGCTCTGTGGTTGGGTCATATTTAGACTTGGGGTCCACTTGGATCTCAGACTCTTTTCTGTTACCCTGACTGCTGCCCTCTCAGCAGGGAGCAGGGGATTTCTCCCTTCCTCAGTGGCCTAGTCTAACCTGCCCTTGTCCCTTATGACTTTCCTGCTTGGAAAGTTACCTGCAGAATCCTGATACCCTCAGTGGGCCAGGACCAGGGAGGGGGAAGCTTGGAACTTAATGGTCTACCAGTGTGATTCCCCCAGACCTGCAAGGGCTAGGTGACTCTGATTTTACAGGAGTCCACATGATTTTCTAGCAAGTTGTCTCATGTGTTAGAGAGCTGGGGTTGAACAGAAGTCTCTGCAGTAGCTCCCAATTGTTTAATAATGACAATGAATCGTATCTAGAATTCATCGAGCCTTTGCTGTGTGCCAGGCACTTAAACGAGATTTTACAGACTTTATCCCATTGACTCTTGTAACAACTCCCTAAAGTATGGGTCATCATCCTCATTTCACAGGTAAGAAAACAGAGATCAAGAAACTTGTTTGGGGTCACTTTTTAGCACTTAAAAAAAAATTAGTGTGCCTTCCCTCTGGTAGACCTTTAGCAAACCATATTTATTAGGCAGCAGTTAATTTGCTCTGGGTGTCCAATGGCAACTGAGTTTACATACTTCTGGCCTAAAGCAATATAATCTTTTAGCTTACCTGTGCGGTCTTAAAAACGCTCCATGCACTAATTCTATAAAGACTTTTTTAAATGTGGAAAACAGAAAATAGCTCTATGACCCCTGGCATTGCTTTTGAGAAGCCCACGTCTCGGGCTCCAGGGGGCCCAGTTAGAAACCATCATCCTGAGGCTCAGAAACTATCCCCAGCTGGGGCGCCTGGCTGGCTCAGTGGGAAGAGCATGCGATCTTGGGGTCCTGAGTTCGAGCCCCACATTGGGTGTAGAGATTACTTAAATAAACTTAAAAAAAAAAAAAGAAAGAAACTATCCCCAGCTTCCCAGCCCAGCTCTGCTCCTCCGCTCTCTGCCCAGCACCTGGAGACCTCAGGCCAGCCTGGCAAGAGGCAGAGAAGCAGGTGAAGGCTGCAGTGTGGGCGAGGGGGGAGATTGGGGGTGCTGGAGGACTGGCCTGGTCGGGGGGCTGTTGTCAGAACAGGCAAAGTCCTCTAGTTAGCTTCCTGTCCCGGCCTCCACCGGCTCCCCTGAGTCCCCAGCAATCCCAAGATCCTCCGCACTGCCTTTGATAGTGTTCGTCTGCTCCGAGTCCCTCGCCACCCCCACCCCTAGCCCCCAGCTCTCCCAGCAGCCTTCATGGGGCCCCTGGGCCCACAGTCCTGATTGGATTGTCCTGTCCATGCAGCGGCCACGCCTGCCAATGATCACTTTTGTGACTATGCAACTGGAGAGAGAACACTAGCTGCAGATCACAAAAATGACACTGGCAGCCGTGAGAGGGAGAGAGACAGAGGAGGAGGGTGGAAGAAGGACAGAAGGACAGAGTGGGGAGACAGAGGGAGGGAGAGACGGAGAGAGGCAGAGCGGGCAGGGAGGTGGAGAAAGCAGGGAGAGAGGGGATGGAACAGGGGAGAGCTGCAGGGCAGGGGAGATGGAGATACAAAGTGGGACAGACTCAGAGACAGTGGGAGAGACAAAGAGATGAGGGGAGAGGCAGGGGGAGGGGTGAGAGAGGGAAAGGAAGGAAAGACAGACGGGGGAGAAATAACAGGCCAAGAAACAGCGAGGGATAAAGAAGGACAGATGGGCAGGAGGGAGTGAGAGCCGAGGGCATAGCAGACCCAGAATATGCTGGAGATCCCCAATAGCAGCACAGGAGGCAACGAACAGGTGAGACAGGAGCCGGGACCCAGGAGAGGGAGGGAGCTTGAACTCAGGTGAGCCCTTCTTGGCGGCGGCGGGGGTGATGGAGGAGCCAGACGCGGGGAGGCAGGGAGAGAAAAGGGGCGAGGGGGACACAGCAGGCAGAAGAGCAGAGAGCGGGAGCACGCGGGTGGAGGGATGCGTACAGCCAGCCAGAGCATCAGTCCGGGCTTGCGGGGTCTGGACGGGGGCGGCTGGAGGTCGGAGGCCGAGGCTCCAGGTCGGGCTGGAGGGCCCGCCTCACAAGACCAGGGCCCCCAGGAGGAGCTGGTGGTCGGGGAGGCGGGGGGCGGCGGTGGGGACGCCCAGCTCCGCGGCCCCCGGCTCGCGTGCGGCTCTCTCCCCGCCCCGCCCCCCTCACCTGCGGAAGTCCAGCAGCGGCCGGGTGGACGCCGGAGTGCCCTCTGCCGGCCAGCTGAGGAAGTGGAACTGCGTGAGCGTGCGCGTCTCCTGGGTCTGCACGTTCTTCAGGTAGAAGCTGCGCACCAGGAAGTCCTCGCACCAGATGTGCTCGGACACCAGGTTCACCTGCCGAGGAGTGGGCCCGGGCCTGAGCACGGCAGCGCCTCTCCATATCGTCCCAGCCTCCCAGGCCGGCTCAAACTCTACATCCTCCCGGAAGCTTACCCAACCGCCCGCTCCTACTGCCCCAGCTGTCCCCAAGACCCCTAGTTGTGTGTGTCGCTTATGGGCTGCTCAGGACAACGGGTGGCTTTTCCGCCCAGACACAGCTACTGTGGGCTTCTTGAGGTCAGACTTCCTCCTTCCTCACAGAGTCTAGCAAAGCGTCTGTGCTACACACACCAAAAACTTTGATGAGATTCTATAATATTTTTATTCGTCTCTTTTCCTTTAAGCATGAGCAACACCAATAAAAAAAAAAGCTTTTAAAAAAAGACTGCTGAAAAGAAAAGAGAAGAAAAAAAATAAAAGAAAAAAAGAAAAAATAAAAAAACAAAAAACCCAAAAAATTAAAAAAGAAAGAAAAAATAGAAAAAATAAATTAAAAAACAGAAAAAATAAAATAAATAAATAAATAAATAAAAATTTAAAAAGACGGAAAAAGGAAAAAAAAAGAAAAAAAAAAAAGACTGCTGAGTGCTCATCGGATGATGAAAAACTACTATCCGGTGCTCCCCCAGTAATGAGAAGCTTCCGTTTTCTCTTAGTGTCTCCTGCTTTACAGGGGGTCATCTTCCACGTGTCAGGACTCTGTTCCTCTTTTGGCTTTGCCTCTCCCCAGTCCCCCCCCCCCCCACCTATCTTCTCTCCTAATGAAAAAGTTTGTTTCTATTCTATACGTGACTGATGGTTATTTCTTTCTTGGCTTTGGAAACTCAGAGAGAGGTAAGTGAGGCTAGATTAACGTAGGTCTTAATGTTGGTCTTTGGTTTTACTTCTCTTCCCTGTCTCATATACTCTCGGCTTCCAGCTTCTGACCTCAGTTTTGGTGGTTTTATAGTTTTATTTCTGTACCTTTCATCATAGGTCCCTACAAATGCTTTCTGGCCCTGGCTTGACACACACGTATAAAGGTATAGTACATGTATGTGTGTGTGCATGTGTGTATGTGCATATGCATTCATACATGTATGTATGGTTCACCGTCCACTGTCTCCATTCCCATCGTCCCCCGGCCATGGGGTCTTGCTGACCTCATATACGTGGTAGAGGGAGGACCCCTCATCTGGCCAGTAGCGGTCACACTGCTTGACACCATCCTCCACCAGTGGGGTCAGCATGACGATGACGGTGCAGCCACTCTCCCACACCATCTAGGGACAGAGACGCCATTCTAACCTCTCCGGCTGCCCTCAAAGACCACTGGTCCCTGGAGAAGCCCTCCTTCCAAGAACTCACCTGCCAGAAGTCTGCAATGGTATGGGACAGTGGGCCCTGTGTGGCTATGTAGGCTGGCATTCGCGGGTCGTGCTCGATCTGGGGCAGGGAAGACACATCAGGAGTCAGAGTGGGAAATGCTACAATGGAGAGGCTTGGTCGGAGGGAGCGGGCCAGGATCTGGGAGAGCTTGAGAAACCCCCATTTCCACGCCAGGATATCAGGCCTCATAATTCCAGGGCGTCAGATGGAGCAGATGGTGACCAGAAAGAAATGGAGTTTATGCAGGCAGGATAAAAACGGGGCGGAGGAGGGGGCTGGAGCCAGGGCCACTTACAATGGGGCTGGCATTGATGTAATCACTCCGAGAAGGGCTGCTCTCCACCTTCAGCTTGATGCGAGCGTGATCATCTGCACAGACCCCACATCCCACCTCAGATGCCCCTCCAGTTATTGGGGTCCTGGTACCTCTGCCACTTGGCCTGAGCCAGGAGCCCAGCCCTTCCCCCCAAGCCCTCCAGGGCTCCCAGCAGACAGAGCTGGGCCGGTTGACCAGCAGGACTCACTCACAGGGCAGGAAGTCGGGGTGGCGGTTCTTTTTGACGTTGCCCTCCCCCTGGGCCGTGGCACAGGTGTTGGGCTCTGCCTGGTAGGCACACAGGGCCTGCCACTCCTTGGCTAGGCGGTCCCGGTTCCGCAGGTGGTCCTCCATGTACGCCTGCAGGGATACCACAGCCTGGCTCTGGCCCTGCCTCTTCTAGCATCCCGTCCGTTCAGCCCCTCTGGGCCCCGGGCCTGTCCTGACCAGGATCATGTGTCCCGTGGAGATGTCCATGTTGGCCTGGGCGGGCTCCTCGCACCAGGACGGTGTGCTGCTATGGGAGCTGGGGCTGGCCTGGGCTGCGTCACTAAACTGGGAGGACACGCTGCTCACGCGAGAAGGCTCCGGCGGACCCTCCGCCCGGTTGAACAGGGACTTTGTGGCCATGTGCTGGCGGCACAGGTCCTGCAGGAGAAAAGGTCAGGCAGGGCCCCAGGGCCCCTGAAGCCCTTTCAGCATCGTCCTGGGCTCCGTCCTAGGCTCATCCTGACTGATTCTGTATGAAACCCGTCTCCTCTGGGGGAGGCTCCGCTGCCCTGGTCCTCATTCTTTTCAAGGCTGTTCTGTTTGGGTGGTGCCTCTGACAGCCTCAGAGAGGAGAGTGGAGTCCCAGAAGTGTGGCCCTGGAATGAACCTTAGGAAGCATCTGCTCCCAATTCCCGTCCACTCAAAATGTCCCCGCAACGCCCCTGCTTGGGTTTCTGTAGCCCCAGCCCGGGTATTCCCAGGCATGGGTGCTCACTCCCCATCCAACACCCCACCCTCACCCCATGTGAGACCCAGACTCCCAAGGCCCTTCCATTCCCTCTCATCTACAGGCTTTCGGGGCCACACACCTGGTACTCAAAGGTAGTGTCACCATGGGCCCCCTCAGGCCCTAGGGCTGCCAGGCGCTCCTTGTCCCGCTGCCGTGCATGCTGCCGCACACACAAAGCCACGGCCAGAGCCACCAGCAGCCCGGCCACACCTGCCAGGGCCACCAGAGTGAGCAGCACTGAGCGCATGGGAGAGGTGCTGCGGGCTGGTCGGGGAAGGACTGCAGCTGCCTCCTCCCTCTGTGGGAACAAGGCTAGAATCAAGGGGGGCAGTGGCAGGGGAGATTTAGGAGCTGATCCTCAACCCCTGACCCCCCATGCCACGCTCCCTGCTAGGGCATCTCCGAGGGCAAAGCTGGGAGGGCAAGGGCATGGCAGCACTGGCAGAAGGGCTCAGATAGACCCAAGATCCTCCTTCTCGATCCCCATCGGACCAACTCAAGCACACCGCACTGCCTGAAACTTAGTGGATGACCCCCACTAGGAGTTTTTGCATTTAAAAAATGAATGTAGAGGAGTTTGGAGAGTTGCAAGGAATCGAATAGTAGAATGTGAGGCATCAGTGTTGGATGCAGAATAGAAATCTATTTTGAGTTTAATGTCCTTACTGCATAGCGTTTTCCCTTGGAATTTAGAAACTTTGCTCCATAAGGCTATGGACACCTCAGGTGGTTCTTCCAAGCAGGAGGCCTTCCTACAGGAAGACTGGTCCTGCCCTTGAGGAGGAGGAGAAGGGGGGAGAGGGAGGGAGGGAGGGAGGGAGGCAGGAGGGGCAGCCACTAGGGCCATCTGCTGGCCAGAAAGTGAACCGCATGGGGAGGGCTGCTTTGGCAGAGCCTGTGGGCCAGCCAGGTACATGAAGTTTCAGCTCTGGTTTTCCTGCCAAGTTTGCCCCCATATCTTGTGGGCAATGTCAGCCCTCTGGGGTTTCAGCTGATTCTTCGGTTAGCTCATACCTGTCCCACTCCTGTCTGCAAGATCTGGAGCCCTGTCTGTGCTTCCAGTTCCGACTTCACCAGCCCTGCGGAGAAGCTGTGGGTCAGACTCTCTCCAGCTCCATGTGGTCTCCACCCCACGTCATGCTATGCTAGGTGGCAGGCAGGGCCCGTGTGTGTTGGGAATATTTCAAGGGGGGCATCAGCCACAGGCCTGGGTATGTCCTACTAAGGCTGGGGCTGGGACCAGGCAATATTTACCAGCTTGCTGGGTCACATCAGCCAAAGACAGGTTCTGTTCATTGTGTCGGATGCGGAAGGTGAGGGCTGGTCCCACCACACTGCCAAACAGGAGCTACATTACTGCCTCACCCACCACAGACCCCAGACTGTAACAGAGAGGCCAGCTCTGGCCCTCTCCCACGAGAGGATGAAGCTGGGGCTGATCAGACATGCCTTACAGGGATGTTTGAGAGAAATGCTGGATGAGGCCAGCATCCAGTGCCTGTGTGTGTGTGTGTGTGTGTGTGTGTGTGTTGTGGGGGGCACCTTCAATGCAGCTAGGAGCATCTCTGACCCCACCTTGGCCACTTACCCAAGACTTTGTCTTCCCTTCCTTCCCTGAGCCCCTCCAGCCACCTCTCCCCTCAAGCTACCTTCTAGATCCTGGCTGCCCCAGCTAGATACCAGCCCCACCTGATGTTGATAAAGCTGCCCGAGGACACGTGCACATGCTCAGCTAGGATCTCCAGCAGCTTGACTCCTGCAGCCAGACTCAGGGGCCTGAAGGTGGAGAGCAGGGAGAGGAAGGAAAGTGGGGATCCTCTTGGCCACTTTCTTGAAACAAACTACCTCCTGGGCTACAGAGGAGCCCCCCTCTGTCCACTTCACATCTGGATTTCTGCTCTCTGCTTCTCGCCAGGCAGGCCAGCCCACACAACACCCCCTCCCCAGGGGAGCCGGTTGGGGGGACTGGAAGGCTTGCCCCGGCTGAAGCCCTTACTTCTGGTCAGTGACAATGTAGCCATACTCCTCTGCTGATGGCTGAGCTGCCGGCCGCCTCACCACCGGGGGCTGGCTCTGGCCCAGTGGACTTTTCTTCTCCAGCAGGACAGGTGTGGCAAGGTGGCTAGCAGCTCTGGGGGACTCGGAGGATCCAGAGCTCAGCACCCGCTGGGCTTTACTGGAAGTGGGGCTGGCAGTGGGGTATCCAGGCAGGGAGGGTGTGGGGGGTGGAGGCTCTGCTGTGCTTCCACGCTGCACCTGCTCCTCCGTTGTCTGTTTGGAAGAGAGGATAGAGGTGTGGTCTCTGGATGATAGAGGGGATGGGGGGGTTGGGGGTCCACATCTTAGGGACTCTGAGGTCCCTAAAGAGGACCTTGGGACTTGTTTCTTTCTACCCTCCCCCAGGACCCAGGGCAGCACTGGGCACAGAGAGGTCACCCAGAAAAGTGAGTCAGGTGGATGAATGAATGAATGAATGAATGAATGAATGAATGAATGAATAAAAGACTGAATGAATGCAACATGATCAGTAATGGTCCACAAGATGGAACTGGAGTGGGGAGAACCTCTGGAGTGAGGGAAGGTGGTGTTAGGAGAAATGAACAGGCAGGTAATGGTTTTTAGACTTCTGTTTAGCCACAAAATCTCAGAAGTCGAACATGTGAAAAAGATAGAGCTCTTCAGGCTACAGGCGGGTCAGGAGCCTGCATGCAATTCCCCTCTTCACCTAGGGATCCTCAGAGCAGGGTCTGAAATGACTGTAGTGAAAAAAGCAGCAAATTGAGAATTCCAGCTTCTAGACCCAGCTCTGCCATCAAGTTGAGGTGAGATCTTAAGGCAAGGACTTGCAGGCTCTGGGCCCTGGTTCCCCCACAAATGAGGAGTGTTGGAAGATACAGATCTGGATCCCAATGCTGAGGTTTAGATTTTGACAAGGGGGTTTGCTGCTAGGGGCACTATGGGTCAGGGAGGTGCCGCAAACTCACTTTCTTGATATCAGCTCCAACATTTACAACCCCTCCTGTAGAGACAGGAAAAACAAGACTCTGGGCAAAGGGCCAAGGTGAAGGTCCATACAACACAGGTAGGAAAAAGGGCCAGCGACCCTGAGCCTGTTGCATCTGCTGTGGCCTCTTTTTCCTCAGTCAGTGACCCAGCCCTGCCTTTGGTCTCATCCTAAGCATGGTCTCATGCCTGTTTGCTTCTACCTTATAATTGTTTTATCAGTTCCTTCTAGAGTTATTGGCCACACGTCTCAAAACTATTTGTCCAGTCCTCCCCCACCCTCAATTACTGGCTTCATTTGGCATTGGCCACTTCCTTCCTTAGAAGCTGTTCCTTGGTGCCTCATGATCCCTGCTCATACCCCCTGTTGGCTTATTCTTCCATTACTCTCCCCTCCAGTTCTTTCCCACTCTAACTCAGCTCACCACCCCACTCCCTTGCTTCCTGCCCCTGGCAGGCAATGACCCTGTGTTCGTGTCTCAAAAGAGCTCCCTTCTCTGCCCCCTGACCTTCCCCTCTAGGCTACTCCATGTGGGCTTGAGAGGTGGGGCAAGGGGCCATCATGTAGCTGGTGGTTGCTGGTCTCTCTGTCTGGACACTCACCCAGATTTCGTCCTGCGCCCTTGGGCAGCAGTTGCAGCAGGGTTGAGAGGGTGGAGAGCTGCTCAGGGGTCAGCTGACGCAGCTCCACCCCATAGCCCGCCAGCACAGCTGCCAGTCTCTGGAGAGTCACGTCTGCTGGGAGCCAGACACAGAGCTTATGGCGAGATGGTGGCGGTGAGGTGGTGCTGGCGAGATGAACTTGTGGGAGGCATTTGGGGGCGGGAGGGTACTAGCACACTTAAAAGCTTCTTCTCCAACCCCAGGACACTGATGCCCTCCACCTTCCAGCCCTTGCCCACACTTTGGGGGAATGGCCTTCTTAGGGCCAAGACCAAACTTCAGGCCCACCATGGACATCTTGACTCTCCAGCTGCAGAAGAGTTATGTTATCTCCACCCCGCACGGTATCCCCACTGCCTACCTAGTGCCTGGCATAGATTGGGTTGTCAGTAGACGTTAGTTAAATATATGAATGACTTTAAGGACAAATTAACAAATGCATGGGTCATTAGGAAGGAGCCCCTGAATGCAGCCCCCAGGAAGGGAACGGATGCTGAGAACTCTGTTACCTGGCAGCTCTGCTGGAGAAGGAGGTTTCTCCCTGCGACCTTCTAGCCCTTCCTCCTCATAGCCCTCTGAGGAATCCTGTGCCCGGCTGCTGTCCCCTTGCTCCGGAAGCCTTGGTGCCCTGGCCCTGCTGGGCACTGGCAGCTCCTGGGCCAGGTAGAGAAGCCCTGACTCCTGGAAAAGTTGACCAGGTGAAGGCCCTGGAGGGTCCCCATAAGAGTGGTCAGAGGGAGCCCCAAACATGCCCTTGGAGGCAGTTCTGCTGAAGAGGGTAGAAGGTTCAGCCTTGGGCAGGGGGCCGACACTGACCATCCCTGGTGAGCCCTCTGAGCCCCGGGAGCCATCGCGGGAGCCAAACTGTGGGGAAACCAGAGATCCGGGTAAGAGCAGGTATCGGGGCTCAGGGATAGGTGTTGGGGTGGGGCCAGTGTTTAAGGCTCACCTGATGGAACAGGTAGGGCTGCAGCAGGGCAGGTTCATAACTCAGAGCAGGGTGGGGGGCCTGCGGGGGTAGCAGCAGGTGCTCCAAGAGAGGAGGCAGCAGCTCAGCCTGCAGAGGGGAGAGTGGAGAGCCCACCCCAGCTCCACCCCCACCCACTGGAGGTTGAGGAAGCCGGTGCTGGGCTGCAGGGGTGGAGCCAGTAGGGATGCCCTGTAAGAGCAGCTCCCCAGCGGGACCAGGTCTCCTGGGCACCAAGCCAGATCTGGGGAAGAAAGCAAAGTGTACGTGTGTGTGTTGGTTGTGTGGGGCAAGGGCATACAGAACCTACAGGAGGCAGAGATGGTGGGACCAGACAGGCTCAGCAGTTTAGAGTAAACATGACCTCTTAAGAAATGAGATAGGCTCAGGGGAAGAGAGTAGCATGGGGAAGGGCCAGAGGGCCAAGCCTGGGCACAGGTCATCGCCTCCCTGGGAAGCATGCCTAGGTCCCTGAAACACAGCAGGGGAGGTTAGGGATGTGTGAGATGAGGAATGGAGGAGAGAATGGGTGCAGGAGAAGGCAGCCAGGTACCTCTATAGATAAACTATGGCTGGAGTCTGCCCCGTTCCTCCTGTATTCATATCCCCACACCTGGCTCTCCAAGTGTGTGGTCAAGCATTCAGTTCAAAGATTCAGTACTTCCCTTCCCCTCCCCCACCCCCCCGCCAACTCTGCCCTTCTACCCCACTCTGCCTTTTTCATCCTGCTATCATTATTGGGGCCCCATGGACCTTGTTGACTTTCCTCTGCTTGCAGGGTCTGAACAATGCCTTCAGAGGCCCTAACCACAGAAAGATGATGGTCTCTCCACATACACTTCCACATAGTAATGAAATGGAACATTAAACATTTTCCGTATGACAAAATTCTCATTTGTCCCATGCTGACTCCTTTGATGCTTCTTTTAAATTATGAAATGTCCAAGTTTTTCAAAACTTTTTTTTCCTGCTGTTTTGCTGGATCCCTGGGGCTCGCTCAGCTCATACTGAGCATGTGAACATGTCACATGACCACTCCTGAACCTCTTTTACCCATGCCTGAGGCTGCTGACCTTGATGCCCATTTCCCTCCCCCTTCCCTCTGTCCATCAGGACAGGACCACAGACCCACCAGCCTTGCCATGTTAGAGCTATTGAGAAAGGATGCCTACCTGTCCTTTGGACGGGGCTCTGGGGGGTGAAGCCTGGGGATGCGTTCCATCTCCTGGGAGATCACATACTGGGTGAGGTCATCGTGCCAGGACAATCCTGCCAGGGGACAGGATAGGGTGAGTTGGCTTGGGAGAGTCTGAGGGCCCAGTAACAGGGACCAGTGGAAATCAAAACCGCACTCCCTACCCTGCAGTGTATTGAGTTTGGCAGAGCAGAGGGGCAGTGGAGGTGGTCCAGAGACCTGGTGGGTAATCTGAGCTGTTCTCTTCCCACACTCAGGTACAGATTTTGGAGTCAGACTGCCATCAGTGAGACAAAGTTTGAATCCTCTGCCATTTCTCATTGTGCAACTTTGGGCAAATTGCTGAACCTGTCTGAGCCTCAATTCTCTCATCTGTAAAATGGGGGTTGATACCTCCTAAGATTGTGATAATTAAAATAACCCAATATAACATGGTAAGAATAGTACCTGTCACATAGTGAACTTTAAACAGCTGCTCTTATCATCATCATCATCATCATCATTATTATTTCTATCCTTTTTGTTGATACCGAAACTTACTTTTCTTTGTAAAGTGGGAATAATACATACTTCGTGGGACTATTGTGAAGATCAAGTGCAATCAGAGAAATGGAAGTGCTAACAAAATTCTAAAGCACTATACACATTTTAAACCTTCACTGCCACCACCACCACCACCACCACCATCAATCATCTTATGCTGGGGCAGATCTCCTGTCTGACTCTTTCCTTTCATGAAACTGCTCTCATGAAAGGTCAGTTACCTATTCTAAAGGCATAATCTCCCACTCTCCACCCCCATTTCTTCTTTCCTGCTTCTGAGTTAATAGTCTGTACTGCTCCTAACTCATATTCTAAGATTGACTAGCATCCATACCTGCCTTCTTGCTTCTGAACATTAGGTAACTCATCCTATCAGAGGCCAATTCCTCCACTTGAGCACTGGATTTCATCTCTTACTACCTACTCAAGAACATCTTCTCCGCAATTTCCCATATTTCCTACATGATCATTTTCCTCTGTTCTCTACTGAATTATTCCCTTTAGCATACAAACATGATGGAATTCCTTTCATCTTAAAAAGTTACTGCATGACCCCACATTCCTCTCCAGTGATCACTCCATTTCTTTCCTTTTCTTTGCACCAAGACTCCTTGAAAGTGTTCTCTCCTGGCTGTATCCAGTTCTTTTCTCTCCTTCCCTCTTAATCCACTCTATTTAGGATTTTATTCCCACCTATTCTACCAAAATATTTTCATCCAAATCACCAGTGACTTCTGCTTATCTAAAGCCAGTGGCCAATTCTCTGATCTCATCTTACTTCACATAGCATCATTATTTGACACTGTTGATCACTCCTTCCTCTGCAATACACTTCCATTTGATTTCTAGACACTGAACATTCTTGTTTTTCCTCCTACCTCCTTGGCTCCCCCTTCTCAGTCTCCCTTGTTGGTTCCTCTCCTTGTCCTGGTCCTCTTAATATTATAATTCTCTAGGCTTCTTCTTCATATACACTAAATCGTTTGGTTATCTCATCTACCTCATGGGTTTAATTGTCATTAATATGCCAAAGAATTCCAAATTCCTATCTCCACTCCAGAATCCTCCATCTCTCTTTCAAAATCCAATCTCATACTCTCAATTTCCCACTCTACGTGAATGAATATCTTAAATTCAGTATATTCAAAACTGAACACCCCTCCCCAGGTTGATCCTTTTGCATAGTTAATGACATCTCCATTTACCCAATTATTCAGGCAGTAAAACCTGGTGTCATCCTCAACACTTCCCTTTCTTTCACAGCATTGTCCAATATTTCATGAAATCATGCTTACTGCCTTTAAAATATATGCAGAATTCTGTCATTCCTTTCTACCTCCCTGCAACCACCTGATCCATGCCACATTCATCTCTTACATGAGTTATTGTGGTAGCTTTTCACGATCTCCCTGCTTCTACCCTTGACTCCCTTCCGTCTATTCTCAACAAGAACAAGCACGATCCTTTTAAAGTAGAGGTGAGGGGCGCCTGGGTGGCTCAGTCAGCTAAGCAACTGCCTTCGGCTCAGGTCATGATCCTAGGGTCCTGGGATCGAGCCCTGCATCGGGCTCCCTGCTCGGCAGGAGGCCTGCTTCTCCCTCTCCCACTCCCCCTGCTTGTGTTCCCTCTCTCGATGTCTCTCTCTCTGACAAATAAATAAATAAATAAAATCTTTATTTTTTTTAAGATTTTATTTATTTATTTGTCAGAGAGAGAGAGAGAGAGAGAGAGCAAGTGAGCACAAGCATGGGGAGAAGCAGGCAGTGGGAGAAGAAGGCTTCCTGCTGAGCAAGGAGCCCGATGTGGGACTCGATCCCAGGACCCTGGGATCATGACCTGAGCTGAAGGCAGACGCTTAATTGACTGAGCCACCCAGGTGTCCCTAAATAAAATCTTTAAAAAATAAAATAAAGTAGAGGTGAGTTTATGCACCCCTATGCTCAAAACCTTGTCATGGGTTCCTCTTTTACTCAGAGTAAAGACAACATCCATCCATACATTCTCTTATAAGTCCCTATGATGATCTGCATCCCTTCCCCCAACACCTTCCACTTTCCCTCTCTATCACTCCTCTACAGCCAGACCATGGAGGTGCTCTCCATGGTATTCCTCAAACTCATGATCCTGCTTTAGTAAAGGCTTTTCTAGCTCTTTGATCAGGTTGAAACATTGCCCCCAGATAACCTTCTGGAAAACACCTCCACTTCCTTGATGTCTTTGTTCAAATTTCATAGTCTCAATAAGGTCTACCTTGACCACTCAATTTGATACTGAAGCTTCCCACCCCAACATTTCTGACCCTTTTATCATGCTGTAAGATTTGGTTTTTTTTTCTATGGCACTTATCACCTTATAATATACCATATATTTTCTAATTTATATATTGTATTCCCCTTACTCCCCAAAATGTAAGCCCCAGTAGACAGAGATCTTTGTCTGTTTTATTCCCTGATACATCCCAAGCACCTAAAACTAAGCTTGCCACATAGTAAGTATTCAATAAAAGTTGTTGAATGAGTGAATTTGATGGGTGGGGTGTTCTCCTGGCTGAGGACTCCAGAATTCATGGTTCTGGAGCACTCAGACAGTTTCAGGGAGCGGGCTGGTCCTAAGGAGATGGACACTGGCCTCTTGCAGTGGCTCCTTCTGTGAAGGCCTCCTCTAGACTCCTCCAAAGAGTCCAAGTGTGAATAGCCCATCTCTATGGTGAACAGCCCAAGACTCCTGTCTTGCCCCCTTCTCCAGCAAGGTCTGGAAAGGTGAGGCTCTAGAAGTAGGCGTGATAAGAATGTTTCATGGGGGCGCCTGGGTGGCTCAGTTGGTTAAGCGACTGCCTTCGGCTCAGATCATGATCCTGGAGTCCTGGGATCGAGTCCCACATCGGGCTCCCTGCTCAGTGGGGAGCCTGCTTCTCCCTCTGACCCTCCCCCCTCTCATGCGCTCTCTGTCTCATTCTCTCTCGCAAATAAATAAAATTAAAAAAAAAAAAGAATGTTTCATGAAGAGAAATTCTTGAGTCAGGTGGTCCCTCACTTCCCCACCCTTATCTAACAAAGCCCCAGTGTCTTTCCTTCAGTACAGATAGACCTCACCTTGGGACATGAGCTGTCGAAGCACACTTTGTAAGCGCTGAAGAACTGGAGAGGTGACTTGCAAAAGGGGCCGGGCCTGCCCCACTCCCACTTGGCACTGTCCAAACAAGCCATCTAAGAGCACAAAAGTGGTGTCAGCAGGGTGCTTGGACAAGAGGCTTTCCAAAGTCCAGGTTGCAAATGGGCATCACTCTCTCCATCTCCTCTCTTGGCTTCAGAGAACTCTGCTCCTTCAGGCCATTCTCTCTTCTCCCCAAGACTGGACTGGTATCCCTTCCCCCTTCCAGGCCTCCCGCACACTTCTTTCTTGTTGTGCCCCCTGTCTTGTAAATCCTATGCCTGGGCCTCACTCACCCTGAATACAGACTTCAAGGTGAGAGCAGAGTCTGCGGTCAAACAGACAGCCTGTAGAGGGAAAAGCAAGCAGAGGCTCAGACACCCATACACATAGAATGGTCAGAGGAGGGACAGGCTGGGAAAGGGGGAAACAGATGGGGTCCATTCTTTCGTCCTAAGAAAGGCTTTAAGCTGGGAGGAGAGTAGGGAAGAGGCTTAGAATTCTTAAGAAAAGGAAGCACAGGATCTGGCTTTGGATTTTAAGGATCTGAGAGTCTGGATCCTTTCCCTAAAAGCCTCAGTTTGCTTAACTGAGTGATGGGGATAAGGCTTCCAGGTGCAGGGGGCAGTGGAGGATCATATACTTCTACTCTCATAGAATTACTATGGGGGGAATTTTTGGCCAAATTCTGAGGAAAGTGAGACTTTCCTCCCCAAATCTCCAAAAGCATTGTAACTACGATGGGCTGGGACTCAAAAGAGATGGAAACCCTAGCACACCTTCCCTCCGTGTGGGAAAGGGGTATGGGTGGGGTGTCTCTAAAGCAATGCTCCCCACACCATCCCTGCAGTCAGTGGCCCGGGAGCCGGTAGCGCTGTCCGCGGTGCTGAAGCTCTGAGTTGGGCCCCGCCGAGGGCCACCTAGCCTGGAAGCAGTTATGGGGGAGGGAAGGGTGCTAGGGTCAGGAGTCTCCACAAGACCTGACCCCTCCGCCGTTCCAGACTTCATTTGCCACTCTACCAACCCACAGGGCCACAGGAAGTACCTTGCATTGGCCTCCAAGCCAGGTGGGGAAGGAGGGTGTCAGACGATGAGGCTGCGCCCCTTCCCCCACGCGCCCCACCACCCCACCCTCCCCCGGCCCATGAGTCAGCGCTGACTGTCTCTGTCCGCTCAGATGTGAGTCAGCACCGGCTTGGCTGTGGGGAGGGGGACAGGAAAAGACCCTTCTCTCTTCACCCTCTTTTGCCGCCTCCCTTAGCCGTCCTCCTCTTATTGGAGATCAGATCGCAGCAATCTGCCTCTCTAAGCTTAAAGAGAAACCCTGGCCCCTCCTTCGGCCTGATCCTCTCCTAGGAGCTGGGACCCCCATGCTCGTGGCCCCAACTCCTACTGCCTGGACGTCAGGACTCCCTCTTCCTATCCCTACTTCCTACCCCCAATCCCTTAGCGCGTCACCACTTCTTTGGCTTCTCAGCGCGACTTCTCCCGTGGTCTTGTAGCCAGTCTCTAAATCCTTCTGTCCATATGCACCCCCATTCCTCCTCCCAAACCCGCAATCTTGCCCTGAGCCTGCTTCTCTTAGGTCCCGCCCCCGTATTCCCAGCCCCACCTCCAGGCCTACGCCCCTTTCCTCTCAGAAGCCCTCTCAGCTTCCTCACCTCCCAGTGCTTCCCCCTACCCTACTCCAGACACATATTCTACCTGAGCTTCCTACCTTCGTGACACCCCTCCCCCACACCCCACCGAGTTTTGCTCCCGGCACCACCCTCCACCCCCCGCCCCACCCCCCGCATTTCCTCCTGACCGTGGGCACTGATGGCGCTGCAGCCTCCCGGGCGGCTGCTCAACAGCAAGAGGCAGAGGAGCAGCCGGAGACCCCCGGGTCCCCCGGGACCCCCAGGCCGCCGCGGGCGCCTCATCCTTTTGGGCTCGGCGCGCTCGCTCCCCTGCCACAACCGCAGCGACGCCGGCCGGAGCCAGCCACAGGGGCCGAGGCGGGGCCTGCCACTCCCCACCCACCTACGAGGCGGGGTCTATACGCCCCTCTCGCGGCAACTTGGCCAACCCTGGGCGGGTGGTGACGGCATCTCCACCCCCGGCTCTTACGCGTATTTGCGTCATACGTGGCGTAAGAGCTCTGTCTTACGGAGGTGCGTACCCGCAGCTCTTGTCCTCCACCAAATAGTAGGCGCTTCACTAGATTTCCCACTTGGCCCCACCCCCTTTTGACGTAATGTTTCACCCCAAGGACTACCACCTCTATCACTCAATCCCAAGGTTGGAGAAAAGGGCTACAGTTGGGTGGGAGCCAGGAAATATACGTGAGTCTAAGTATAAGCCCTAAAATGAGCATAAAAGTGAGTAGAATAGGTACTGTTACGCCTCTCAATTGATGGTACTGGTATCATCCTTAACACCAGGGATGGTTATGCATGTGGGCCTGGATTCCAGTTTTAGCAATGCCACCTACTAGGAGTATAACTTTGGGCGAGTTGCTTAACCTCTCTGAGCCCAAATTCCCCATCTGTAAAAGAGATGTGCTAATAATTCCTACCTCACAAGGTGGTTGTGGGGATTACTCGAGTTAAACTCATGTGGATCACTTAGAACAATGACTGTACTGGTAGGTACTAAACACATGATACATACTCGCTTTTGTTATTAGCCTTGACTCCCTTTTCTTTTACCCCCTCCTGCCTCAAGCCTATCAACAATTTATGGTTTCTACCAGCAAAATGTATCTCCCATCTGTCTATTTCTTCTTTCCTCCATATTCACTACTTTATCTAAACCACTGTGCTCTTTCATCACGAATATTACTGTAATCATCTAACTAGTCTTTTGCTTTCAGTCTTCTCACCCAATAAGTTAGGGAGTGAGCTTTCTAAAATTCAGATTTGGTCACTTTATTCTCTTGCTTCTCGTTAAAAATTTTCCAAAATACAGGAAAAGATAGAGTGCATAGTAAATACGCATATACTCATCATCTAGACTTAATAGTTATTGCTATTTTTCCAAATTTGCTTCTTTTAAAAAGTCAATTATAGACATTCTGTTTCCCTTATAGATGTTTCAATATGCATCTCCAAGAAATAAGGATATTTTCCCACATAATCCAAATGCCCATCTAACAAAATTTACAGTAACTCTCTAATATCACTTAATGCTCAGTTCATATTCAAATTCTCAAATTGTTTCCAAAAATGCCTTTTTCCATCTGTTTTGTTCAAAATAGGAGTAAAAAAAAAAAAAGGAGTCAAAGACCACCATTGCATGTGGTTATGTTTCTTAATTCTCTCTAAATAATATAGACACCCCCCCCCCCATTTTTGACATTGTCTTGTTGAATAGACCAGGTTAGTTTTTCTTTACAACTCCCCACCTTCTGAATTTGTCTGATAATTTCCTCATGATAGTTTTCCCTGTATTTCCCCTGTGTCTATCCTGTATGTTCCCTGCATTTTCTGTAAACTAGGAGTTATATCTAAAGTCTTGATTGGATCAGGTTAAACATTTTTTAAGCAAAATGCTTTATAGGTGATGCTTATGCGTCCAATTATGTCATTTCAGGAAATGGGTAATGTCTGCCTGTCCTACTATTAGTGATGCTAAAATTGATCACTGGTTTAAGGTAAAGACAGATCACTGTATGTAAACTTACGTTTCCCTCTTGTGACTAATATGTAATCTGTGGGGTGATATTTTGGCACTGTGAAAATATTTAGTTCCCATCAACTTTTCACCTAATGGATTTGTTCTTCCTTGATGGTCCTCGACTAAATTATTTCATTAGAGGCCGCAAAATGGTGACTTTTCTAATTCTATCATCCCTTTAACATTTATTAGCTGATATTATTTTATAAAGAAGAGCTTTCTTCATCAGCTGGGGTTATTTACCCTGAAATACAGCTCCAACTGGAAAGGTAGCATACATTCTTATTTTTTTGGTTTACCAATTTGCAGCGTAATGAATTTAGGTATAGTAGTTCCCTCCAACTGTGACAAATAAATTTTTAAAAAATATTTTAATGACGTTTCTTGTTTGATCATTACTATGGAAGTATGGATTTTCATATATTCAATGTGCATCAATCAATTGCAGTAATTTTTTTTATATTCAAATTGCCTCAGAATAAGTCAGTGAAAGCTCCTTTAAACTGTCTCTGAGGTCCTTTTTTTTTTTTTAAAGATTTTATTTATTTATTCATGAGAGATAGAGAGAGAGAGGCAGAGGCAGAGGGAGAAGCAGGCTCCCCGCGGAGCAGGGAGCCCGATGCAGGACTCGATCCCAGGACTCTGGGATCATGACCTGAGCTGAAGGCAGACGCTTAACCAACTGAGCCACCCAGGCGTCCCTCTCTGAGGTCCTTTTGAAACATCCCATTAGAGGCGCCTGGGTGGCTCAGTCGTCTGCCTTCGGCTCAGGTCATGATCCCAGCTCCTGGGATCAAGCCTCACATTGGGCTCAGCAGGGAGCCTGCTTCTCCATCTCCCACTCCCCCTGCTTGTGTTCCCTCTCTCACTGTGTGTCTCTCTCTGTCAATCAAATGAGTAAAAATCTTTAAAAAAAAGAAAAGAAAAATCCCACTAATCACTGACAGTTCTCTTGCTTTCTATCACTCCAAGATGTACCAGGTTCATCTTTTTTATTCCCTGCTCTAGACATGGAAGCAGCCATTCTTCCAAGAGACTTGGTAGCTTTTAGTAAGGACTGACTTTAGAGATCACAGTCTGGGATTTAAGGGTCATAATAGAAACTGAGATGACGTTGCTTATAGGCCCTTTCAGTGCACAGAGCTGGAATATTAAGATAAACACACACATTCACACACACTCATATTTCCAACTAAAATTTAACTGTGATTTTTACTGAGCTCTTTTGATTTTGTACTCGTATCTCTTTATTCTTTTTTTAAAAAACTTTTTTAAAAGATTTTATTTATTCATTTGAGACACAGAGATACAGAGAGAGAGAGCATGAGCAGGGGGAGAGGCAGAGGGAGAGGGAGAAGCAGGCTCCCCGCTGAGCCAGGAGCCCAATGTGGGGCTCCATCCCAGGACCCCAGGATCATGATTGGAGCTGAAGGCAGACGCCCAACCATCTGAAGCACCTAGGCACCCCCATATCTCTTTATTCTTACACTGAAAATTTTGATTTCTTACGACATTAATATAATTGCTTATATGTGTAATCGTACGATATAAATATAATAATTTACAAATAATAATGCAAATATTACCCTACTAATAAAACAATAAAGACATTTAAGATGTGTGGTAGTTCATTTTGTCCTTGGAATATAATCCCTTAGGGTATACCATCAAAATACTGCATTCTAAAGTCATTTGAAATAGTTCTTTTGTGTAGGCATTTTTACCAACTTGATATATAATTTGGTTTGTTTGTTTCAGTTTGTTCTCAACCATTCATGAGGAGAAGTTTTTTTTTTACTTTGTAATTTTATTTTTTGAATATGTAAAATATTTACATTTTTCAGAAATCAAAACTATATAATAAAATATACCCAGGGAATTCTCTGCACCTTCCACAATTTCTCCTGCCATCTTTTTTTTTAAGATTTATTTATTTATTTATTTTCTCCTATTTATTTGAGAGAGAGAGAGCGAGCACAAGCGGGGGTGGGGAGAAGCAGAGGGAGAGGGAGGGAATCCTCAAGCAGACTCCCCACCGAGCATGAGCCCAATGTGGGGCTTGATCCCAGGGCGCTGAGATCATGACCTGAGCCAAAACCAAGAGTTGGACACTCAGCAGACTGAGCCACCCAGCCACCCTCCTCCTGCCATCTTTATCACTTCACTCACTTATTTCCTTTTTTAAAACTGTGTAAATTGTGAAATAAAACAAACAGAAAAATGCATAAAACAAAAATGAACAACTCAGTAAGTTATCACAAAGTGAACACCCATGTAATCCAGGTCAAGAAATAGAACATTTCTAGCACCTTGGAAACCCTATCATGTCCCCCAGTCATTATCTCTTCCCAAGGGTAGCCATTTTTTTTTAAGATTTTATTTATTTATTTGACAGAGAGAGAGAGCACAGCAGGAGGAGCAGCAGGCAGAAGCAGGCTCCCCGCTGAGCAGAGAGCCTGACGCAGGCTCTATCCCAGGACCCTGGGATCAGGACCTGAGCCAAAGGCAGATGCTTAACTGACTGAGTGACCCAGGCACCCCCCAAAGGTGGCCATTATTCATTCTTTTTTTGACCCTATTGCTTTTCTTTTCTTTACAGTTTTATAACCTAAGGATGCATGATTAGGTTATGAAACTGTAAAGAAAAGTAAAGATATATAGATTTTGGATTATCCCCGGTATTGGTTTATCATGAGTAGTGTGAGTATGTATACAGTTGTACATGTTTCCTGTTGCACATGTGTGCCAGGGGGAGCAAACAGCCTATAACAACCTTAAAGGGAGGAAGATGGGGGGGGAAAGACACCCTATTCTCATTCTCCTCATTCCCTCCCTCTGATCTCTCCTAGGTATTCCCATTGTCCTAACCTAAAAGGATCCAGAGGAAGAGGGAGCTTACTGAAGTAGTCCATAGAGGTTAGCTTGTTGGGAGAGGAAATAGGGTGAGGACAAGTAGAGGGCAGATCCTAGCGGTAAACTTGAGGTATCTGGGTATCTGCTTTTGATCCCCCTTTCCCCCCTCTGTCTTTCTCTCTCTCTCTTTTTGAGAAATTATCTGTCAGTATAATTGTTACTCTTTTGTAGGTAACCTATCTTTGTCAACATTTTACTAGGCTGTCATTAGAGAGACATTTCTTTTCATTTATTCTCCTTGAGATTCAAAGAGCTTCTTGAATACATGGCTTGGTGTCTTTCAGCAATTTTGAGGCATTCTCAGACATTATCTCCTTAAATATTGATTCTACCCCCATTTTCTCGTTCCCTTCTTTCTGGAACTCCAAGTAAATGTATATTAGACTGTCATGTGATATCTTTTATTGTTCTACCTTATCTTTTGTATTTTCCATTCTTTTGTCTCTCTGTACTTCATTTTGGATATTTTCTTTTTTTTTTATAAGACTTTTTTTTTTTTAAAGATTTTTATTTATTTATTTGACAGAGAGAGACACAGCAAGAGAGGGAACACAAGCAGGGGGAGAGGGAGAAGCAGGCTTCCCGCAGAGCAGGGAGCCCGATGCGGGGCTTGATCCCAGGACCCTGGGGTCATGACCTGAGCCGAAGGCAGACCACTTAACGACTGAGCCACCCAGGCGCCCCTTGGATATTTTCTTTTGAACTACAGTCCAGTTTACTAATTTTCTCTTCACATGTGTACAGTCTGATGCCTTGAACTCAGCCAGAAACCATGGTACACTCAAAGTAAATCCAAAGAGTTTAATTATAGATCTGTTTATAAATGTATGGACAGGTAAAGAAATATAGACCTTTGTCAACTCACAGCCAGTCAGGGAGGGAGCCAGAGGAATGCACACCCTGAATTTTCTCCCTCTTTGGACCCTGATAGCTTGTCAATACCTTCTATTGGCCAAATCCAACTATAAGCCAGTGAGCAAGGACGTACAGTTGATACAGTTCATAGACATTAACCTGGGGCCATAGATCAGGGTGAAGAAAGATGGAGCCTGAATATGATGGGAAAATGGGGAATATCTAGCTTAATCCTAGCTTCTACTCTTGTCCTTTATTTGAATGAAAACCCTGTACTTTTTAAAAATTAATTAATTTATTTATTTTTAAAAAAGATTTTATTTATTTATTTGACACAGACAGAGAGGAACACAAGCAGGGGGAGTGGGAGAGGGAGAAGCAGGCTTCCTGCGGAGCAGGGAGCCCGATGCGGGGCTCGATCCCAGGACCTTGGGACCATGACTTGAGCCAAAGGCAGATGCGTAATGACTGAGCCACCCAGGCACCCCTAGAAATTTTTATTTTTTTTGAAAATTTTAAATTACATATATAATTATAAATTATAGTTCTACTGAACAACACTGACTTAGAAAATTCTTTATTTCCCATTCTTATCAGGGAAGATAGCTGGAAGAATTTTGCATTCACATGGCAGAGATAATAGTATATCCTAAAACTTTTACTTCAGTTGTGTTTATCCATATTCTTTTTTAAAAAGATTTACTTATTTATTTTAGAGAGAGAGTGTGTGCACAAGCGTGGGGAAGGGCAGAGGGAGAGAGAGAATCCCAAGCAGACTCCCTGCCAAACATGGAGCCCAATGTGGGGCTCAATCTCATGACCCTGAGATCATGAGCCGAAATCAAGAGTCAGAGGCTTAGCCAATTTAGCCACCCAGGTGCCCCTAGAGTTTATAGATATTCTTAATTTAATGTACTAAATGTACTATCTTTTCCTTTATTTTTTGCACTTTCATCTCCTCTTTAAGAAATCTTTTCTAACCATTAGGACATGAAGTTATTCTTATACTATCTTATATTTTTTTGAAGATTTTATTTATTTATTTGAGAGAGAGACAAAGAGAGAGCACGAGTGGGGTGGAGGGCAGAGGGAGAGGGAGAAGCAGATTCCCCGCTGAGCAAGGGTCCCGATGCGGGGCTCAATCCCAGGATCCCGGGATCATGACCTGAGGCGAGATAGATGCCCAACTGACCGAGCCACCCAGGTGCTCCAATACCACACTTTCTTAATTACTACAGCTTCATACTGAGTATTGATAGCAGGTAAAGCAAATCATCCCATCTTCTTCTTTTCAGAAACATCTTTTCTCCTATTTCCTTTTTACATTTTTTACTTTGAGAAGTTCATAGTTATTATTATTTATTATTGAAGTATAACTTACAGCCAGGGAAGTCTATAAACTTAGGTTTATAGCTATATGATCATTAGCATAGGTATACAACTCCATAACTCCTTAGAGAAATCAAATCCTGATACCTGCCCATTTGCTTACACTGAGTTCCAATGAGTGTGAGAGTACTTGAGAAGTATAAAGCTCTGCAAACAGGATATTCTGGTGTTCAGCTGGGCTGAGCATAGGTGGTCAGATTACCCACTCCCTTTAAGATTTTCAGCTACCAGGAGCAAACTGGCAAGAGCCATCAAAATATTTAATGTGTGTACACTTTGGTTAGAGCACTTCTCTCTTGATTCTTGGCTGGCAGGGGGAGGAAGACCCTCATAAAATAGCAGGGTCCAGGTGTGTCTGACATGGAAGGGCATGCAACTAGACCACACAGTGCAGGTAGGTGTGAGTGGGGAAGCCTGCATTCCAGCTTTGGTCCTTCTCTCACTTTCCCCACTTCAGGGAAGACAAGACAAAAACCAGCCTTCTACCAGTACCGAAGAGCTGTGCTTTTTCACTGCACACCTGTTCTGGTCCACCCCTCTTCTTTTACTTCGGGGGCTCTGGCCATTTCCAAACCCCACCCATCCTGCCTCAAGACAAATCACAGAAAGAGTTTGCATGAAAGTCCATTTTAATGATCCAGATTAGGGTCATCCTAGAACTGTCCCTCTGGAGGGCAAATGGGAGAGCATTGGGGCAGAGGGGCTCCACCTGAGGTCTCAGTCAGCAACAAGGCTTTGGCCCACAGTGGGGGGTGGCTCAAAGAAGCCCTAAAACAAGAAGAAACAAAGGATTGGAATCAGTATATGGGGAGGTGGCCCCTTCCTTACCTACTCTCCTTCACAAAATCCTTCAATAAGAGCCTGATTTATGTAAGCTACAGTGACTCAGCCCACCCATTGTCTGTCCCCTTGGCTCCCACAAATAGTTCACCCTCCCTTCTGTGCTTTTCCTTGGGCTCTTGGCTGGAGAAAAATGGCAGCACCTTGTTTGCATTCACAGAAGCACCATGGCAACCATCCCTTACAAGTGGGTCTGTCACTTAGCTCTAAATGCCTCGACCCAGCAACCACTCCAGGCTTAGGAAGGCCAGCTGTCACTTGATGGAGTGAGAACTGGTTTCCTAGGAGAGCCTGAGCGTCTGGAAGCCCCCTGAGGTGCGAGTTCCTTGCAGGCTCTCAGTTTTCACGCTTGCTTTTCTCACAGAGATTATACCCCATTATCATGAGAGGGGCCTTTTGAAATTGTGTATCACATTATGTCACTCCTTCCTTGAAACTTCCCAGTGAAGTTGTCACTACACTTAAAATCCAAACTTTTCACTAGGATCCATGAGCCCCTGGATGGTCATTCCGGGGCCTACTTCTCCAACCTAATCTTCTGCCACTGACTTTTCCACCTGTTCCTCTAAAGTGAATGGTATACCTGCCTCGGGGCATTTGTCACTGCAGTGCTCTCTGCTTGGGATGCCCCTCCCTATACCTTCCTCTGGCTGCCACCTTCTTGCAATTCAGGTCTTAGTCTAAAAAAAAAAAAAAAAAAAAAGACTTTCATCAGTGTGGAGGAGTCTGACGTTTGGAAGAGCCCTGTTCTCACTGCAGTCCCTGAGAGGACAGGCAGGGGCTGTGCAAGGGAAATGTCTATGATTCAGGAGACCTGGGTCCAGTCTTGGCTCTGCCATGAACCTGACCCTTGACCAGCCCCAATGTCTCATCTATAAAGACAGATGGGAGTGCTAGATGCGTGTTGTTTTTTTTTTTAAGATTGATTTTATTTATTTATTTAGAGTGTGAGCGGGGGGAGGGGGAGAGGGAGAGAGAGAGTCCCAAGCAGACTTCACGCTGAGCAAGGAGCCCAACACAGAGCTCAATCCCACAACCCTGAGATCATGACCTGAGCTGAAATCAAGAGTCAGATGCTTAACTGACAGCCACCCAGGCGCCCCTGGATGTGCGTTTCAAATCTAGATTCTGAAGAGTTCAAGCATCTCAAGGAGATAACCCAGAGCCTTGCCCTGGTCACTTTGCCCAGGCCATGGAGTAGAAAAAAAAGAATTTAATTTAATTTGCTTTAATTTGGCAACTTTCAATGCCTATGTGAGACTCAGTGTCTGTGCACAATCTTTTAGATCATCTCATCCTTAGAGGCTCCCAGCGTCTGCCCTCCTAACCTCTCATACTGATACCCTCCCAACCTCTCATACAGATGCCCACAGGTGTTTCTGTGAGAGAAGTAGGATGGGGATAACCTTTGATTGGGAAAGGAAAGAACTTTTCTTCAGCTTATCTGTTCACACCTCAATATCTATTCCCTTCTTCATAGGGGCCTCCCTCTTTTAAATAGGTTCTTGGTGATTCCAACCTCCAGAGAAAAAGTAAACCCCTTACCTTGACAGGGTCGGTCCCCTCTCATTGAGGGTCTTCAAATCCACTTTGGAGGTAAAGCATTGCTCCCTGTTCACTTTGGCCATTGGGCTCTGGGAGAGGGGAAGCCAGGAGTCAAGAAGAAGGCAGAAAAGGATGACAGGGTTCCAGAAGGGAAAGGGATAGGATCCAAAGTCAGGGATTGAAAACTCTTGAGAAGACACATAAGTCTTACCTTGGGGAATAGGGGTCGAAGTTTCTCCTCTTGCTTGCCCCTAAAGAGACAGGGATGACAGATGGAAGCTAAACTTGCTAACACCCATCTCCTCTCCTTCTGCAGAGGCTGGTGGTTGTTTTTCATGGATCCCAGACAGAACCTCTCATAGATGACTCTCATAGTCCTGCCCGCAGCTCTTCCTGTAGTTTTTTTTTTTTTTAAGATTTTATTTATTTGACAGAGAAAGACACAGCGAGAGAGGGAACACAAGCAGGGGGAGTGGGAGAAGGAGAAGCAGGTTTCCCACGGAGCAGGGACCCCGATGCGGGGCTTGATCCCAGGACCCCGGGATCATGACCTGAGCCGAAGGCAGACACTTAACGGCTGAGCCACCCAGGTGCCCCTCTTCCCTACAGTTTTAACATCTGTTCCCTCCCTGCTGTCTGTCTGCTAGACAGCATGGGCCAGCCATTGACCTCACGCACCTTATCCCAGTGGTTTTGGTGGGAAAAGCTGCCTGCCCATGCCTCAGACATGGATCTTGGGGGTGGAATCTGCTGATGTGCTTCTGGGTAATGTCATTCCTCCAGAACAAACCTGCAGGGTAAAAGGATGTGGTGAACTGACACCTGAGACACACTGACTGGTCCACTCCAGGAATTGGAGTGAGACCAGCAATCCCCCTCTCCCTCAAGTAGATAAAGAATCACAACTTGTGCAGAGAACTAAATGAGCTGGTGTATAAACATTACTTAGCATAGTGCCTGGTGTATAGTGAACCTTCCACTAGGATTGTATTCTGTTTGCTGATTCATTTGAGGCTATTGTGAGGACTAAATGAGCTTAGGGGTGTAAAGAGTGCTTAGAAAACTTGGGCTGTGATTCCTAAACCTTAGTGTGCATCAGAATTTCCAAATTCTGGAATTTCCAATTCCAACAAATTAGGGGCACCTGGATGGCTCGGTTGGTTAAGTGTCTGCCTTCAGCTCTGGTCATGATCTCAGGGTCCTGGGATGGAGCCCTGAGCCAGGCTACCTGCTCAGTGGGCAGTCTGCTTCTTCCTCACCCTCCCCCCTGCCCACTCATGCTCTCTTTCTCTCTCTCAAATAAATAAATAAAATCTTTAAAACAAAAAAACCCCACTCAAATTACTGTTCCCCACACCCAGAGTTTTTGATTCAGTAGGTCTGGGGTGAAGCTCAAGAATGAGCATTTCTAACAAGTTCTCTGGTAATGCTGATGCTGCTGGTCCTGATGCACTTTGAGAACCATTGCTCTAAGGCATCACACACATATTAGACATCAGTAGTAGTAACAGCAGTAATATGAACTCAGGGTAGATTTCCTTTCTGACCCTTCCCCCATCCATGAAATTCTGCTCTAAGGAAGTGTCAGCCTTCTGTCTCCAAGGGAATTTTCACTCCTTTTCATGCCTCCTATCTATTCATCATCCTATTTATTCTGCTTCCTACTCAGAGGCTGAGGGGTGTGTAGGTGTGTTCTCCTGGCTGAGAACCCAAGGATTGCTGGCTATGGAAAAACTCAGATAGCACTAGGGGTTGGGACTCATCAGAAGGAACTGGATGCTGGCCTCTTCCAGAGTGTTCAAGGGCAAAGAGCCCACCCATCCAACTCCACCCCCATTCCAGTCATACCCCCTTCTCCATGAGGTGAGCATGACAGGAAAGTTTCAAGTAGAGACATCTGGGGAAGAAAGCCCATCCTCAGGTCAAACAGCCCCTCACTCTCTCCAACTTTTCTGATCAGGTCCCAGCCACTCTTCTCCAGCCCTTACTCACCTTGGGGCACAATCTGCTGGAATACAGCTTGTAAGTGCTGGAAAACTGGACTGGCAAATCCTTGGAGGGGCCAGAGCTGCCCCATTCCCACTTGGCCCTGACCATCTAAGAGGCAGAATGGTGGCATCAGCAAGGAGCTTGGCCAGAAACCTTTCAAATCCCAGCTGAAGAAAAGCATCTTTCTTCCACTATTACCCCTGGGTTCCCCAGTCTCTGTCCCCCTCACCAGACCCTTTCCTCCTCTCAAGTCCTCCTTCTTTTCATTTTCCCTTCCCCATCACCACCTGCCCTGTTATTTGGAACCTCATTCGCCTTTGATGCCAACTTCCAGATAAGAACCAAGCTTACAAGCAAAGAGCAGCCTGTGGAGGATGAAGTAAGCAGAGGCTCAGAAAGCTATACACATGGAATGGATAATCAGATGAACAATGGGGCATGGGAAGCAGGTGAACTGCATCTCAAAGGCTTGGAAGCCTGGAGGAGATTGAGGCCTAGAATCCTTTGAGGAAGCAAGTATTGGTATGCATAGGGTTTGTGTGTCCGGATCTTTGTCCTGAAAGCCACAGTTTATCTAACTGTGCATAGGGGAACGACAGAGTGTGGGAGGGGATAATCCCTAATGCTACAACGCCTTCATTATTCCAAGTAGATGGGGTAGAGTTGGTAGAGAGTCCATTTTTTATATAGTGGAATTACCATGAGTCATTATGGACAGGCGTTAAGAAAAGGGAATGGTCCTCCGAAATCAAATGGATTCCCACACCAGTTTCCTGGCTTTCGGAAGGAGCAGAACCTCCAGCACCCTCATGAGAAAGAAAAGAGCTTCTTCTGGAAGGGAGATTGTTGTCTGAGGCATCCTTCCAGGACAGATAGGAAAAGTGGTGACCTGGACGCCCTCTGCCAGACCCACAGGGCTCCTGGCGCTGTCCTTGGTGCTGAGGGAGTGACGGACGCGTGGCTTGAAGAGGCGTCTGGGCGGCAGAGGCATCCCTACAAGAACGTCCCCCTCCCCCGCCACACCCACATCTCTCCTGTCATCCGCCACCAGGCCTCCTCCCACAGTTCTTCGCGAGCCCTCTGCACTGGCCTCTAAACCCAAGAATCGGGCGGGGAAAGTTGGCGTCAGACTAGGAGTTTGCGCGCTCTTCCCCAGGCGCCTGGCACTGGAATCTTCGAGTCTGCGCAGTCGGTCTCTGGCCGCTCAGACGTTGTCAGCGCTGGTCTACCCCGAAGGCTCAGAGTGGAGGGAGAGGAAGAAGGATGGACTCTTTCCCCCTCCATTCTCTTTTACCCCAGCCTAACATTCCCCTTCTGATCTGAAATCAGAGCGCAGATACCAGGCTCAGAGGGCTTGTGATGAAATCCTAGTTCGTTTCTCCGCCCAGCTTTCTCTCTGGAGCCAGGACCCCGTACCCGTGCGTCTCTGCTCCTATTGTCCAGAAATCCGGGTCCCCTGCCTATCCCTCAGCCCTGGGCTTCTCTTCCTTGGCCCCTCGGTGTGTCTTACTTCTCCTTTGGCGGCATAGGCGGGGCTTACTTCCCTCTGCCCACTCGTCTTTCCGTCGCTTTTCTTAAGTCCAGATCCCATACGCGGAGCCCCACCTCAAGCCTGCGTCTCTTTCTACAAGACGCTCTCTACATTGATCTCTTTTCACGTCCCTCAACACATCCTTTTCCTCCTGAGTTCCTAATCTTGAGGCCCTCTCCTCCACTTCTCTCAGGAGCGCTCTCTGGTCTGCCCGCACCCCCTCCCCCGCCCCACCCAGGTTTCCTCCTGACCGTGGCCACTAATGTCGCTGCAGCCCCCTGGGCGGCTGTTCAGCAGCAGGAAGCAGAGGAGCAGCCAGAACCCCCCGGAGCCCCTAGGCCACAGCAGGTGCTGCATCCTCCTCAGCTCCGCGCGCTCGCCCCCCTCCTAAGTCGCAGAGAAAGTAGAGACAGCAGCTGGAGGGGCTGAGCTGGACTGTAGCTTCCCACCCGCAGTGTGCGCTGGATCTGCACAACCCTCCCTTGGCAGCTTGGCCAATCGCGGTTCGTCCCTGCCCCCGCGGACGCGTAGCCAACTCCTTCCCTTTACCGCAGGCAGAGCCATCCCAACTCACCCCCAGGCACCCGCTTTTTTACGTAAACCAGGTCCCAAGGACTACTGCTTCTACTCTCAGCCCCAAAGTTGTACAAACGAATTGCACGTAAGATGCGGGTGCGAATTGTACCTACCTCATAAGCTTGTTATGAGGATTAAATATGAATAGCAACTGGACAGTAGACACTCAATGTAACTAGTCTATTTTTATTATCCTTGATGCTTACTTTACCCTCACCTCTTAAAAACCTTCAACATGCATGAGTTCAACCTGCAAAATATATCGCACATCCATCCACTTCTCTCCACTACCATCGCCTTGGTTCAAACCACTAACAAGCTAACTGATCTCTTGCGTCTATTCTTGTTTAGTTATAGGCTAGTGTGTGAGCTTTCTAAACCATAGACTGGCATTTCAACATTTTTCTTTACATTAAAAAAATTTTTAAGTCATCTCTACCCCGGACGTGGGGCTCAAACTCATGACCTCAAGATCAAGAGTCACATGCTCTATCTACTGAGCCAGCCAAGCACCCCTCAATATTTTTTTCATTAAGCTTAACAAATTTATTATGAAAATCCTCAAATATTAAAAAAGAGAAGAATCTAATGAGCACATATATGTATCAGCTAGACTTAACAATTATTAAGATTTTGTCAAAATTGCTTCTTTCTCTTGAAGTATTTAAAAGTAACTTACAGGGCGCCTGGGTGGCTCAGTTGGTTGAGCGACTGCCTTCGGCTCAGGTCATGATTCTGGAGTCCCGGGATCGAGTCCCGCATCGAGCTCCCTGCTCGGCAGGGAGTCTGCTTCTCCCTCTGACCCTCTTCCCTCTCATGCTCTCTGTATCTCATTCTCTCTGTCTCAAATAAATAAATAAAATCTTAAAAAAAAATAAAGGTAACTTACAGACATCATGACATTTCACTCCTAAATAATTCAATATGCCTCTCTTAGAATTAACAATAGTTTCCTACATAATCACAATACCAGGCATCTGTGGTAGGCTGAATAATGGCCCCTAAAGATGTCCATGTCAGAGTCTCTTGAACCTATGAATATGTTACTTTATATGGTAAAAGGGACTTTGCAGTGTGATTAATCTTAGAAAGTGATTAACCTCAGATGAGATTAGCCTGGATTTTCCAGGTGTGCGCCGTACAATCACAAGGGTCTTTATAAGAGAGAAGCAGGAGGGTCAGAGTTAGTAGTAGGAGATGTGACATTGGAAGAGGTTGGAGAGATGCCAGGAAGAGGTCACAAGCCAAAGAATGCAAACAGTGTCTAGAAGCTGAAAAAGGCAAGAAAATGATTCTTCATTTAAGCCTTCAGAAGGTGGCTCAGTGGGTTAGGCTTCTGCCTTCGGCTGAGGTCATGATCCCAGGGTCCTGGGATTGAGCCCCAGATCGGGCTCCCTGCTCAGCAGGGAGTCTGCTTCTCCCTCTCCCTCTGCCACTCCTCCTGCTTCTCTCATTCTCTCTCTCTCAAATAAACAAATAAAATCTTTAAAAATAAATAAATAAAAGGTAATTAAGTATTTGAGGGAAATTTGTATGTGGATTTTGGGTTCACTTCACTCATTTCCCAGATTTCTTCCTCAATTTCCAGTTGCTCTGGCATTTCTGTGCTCCAACCTGTGTTTCTGAGGCTGGTCAGACTGCCACTTTCTGCCTGAGCTCTATTTCCCCATGTGCTGCAGGAAACTGTGAAGTGTCCTGAGGAGGAAAGCCTGTTAAGTGTAGGACTCATCTGTGGACTTTCTTTTTTTCAAGGATTATATTCCCTCTAGCTTTTCTTGCTTTTGGGTGGTCTCCATGCTTTCAAACAGTTATTTTTATATTTTGTCTAGGGCATATATATTCAATGTTAGGAGACTAACACAAGCCATTTTGTCACACCAGGAACTAGAGGTTTATCTGGTTATCACCAACTTGTGCTATACATATTTGAAAATTGTTTACAGAAATAATTTGAGGCCTAAGAGCAAATGATTCTGAATCTGCTTTGAGATCTATAATGCTATAGGAAAAAGGCACATACTGGTTCTTGGTTAGTTGAGCAGAGGTGGCAGTGCTTCTCTCTCCTTTCTGAGATTTCAAACTGCCAGGGCGTCTGGGTGGCTCAGTTGGTTAAGTGACTGCCTTTGGCTCAGGTCATGATCCTGGAGTCCCTGGATCGAGTCCCGCATCGGGCTCCCTGCTCGGCAGGGAGTCTGCTTCTCCCTCTGCCCCTCCCCACTCTCATGTGCTCTCTCTCATTCTCTCTTTCTCAAATAAATAAATAAAACCTTAAAGAAAAAAAAATATTTTGAACTGCCAGGGAAATAGCTAGCAAAATAATAACTTATGTAGGCATTGCTACTGCACTTCTTTTTGCTATTCTTGCAAGGCACCTTAAAGCTGGGAGTAATAACCTCAGAAGACCAAGCAGGTTCTCAGACCTATTAGGCCTGGAGTTCAAGGGGAGGAAGTTCCTTTCCCAAGAGGAAAAAGATCACCAGAAATTGTGGTGGGGGGAGAGGGTGAGGAAGGATTGCAATTCAGCTGTGGCCCTACCCTGCCTTGCATTCACCTGATGAATGACGTCTGGAAGGAGAAAGGGATCTGAAACCAGGCTACCCTCTGCACCATCACCACCCCAAATCTCTTCTCTGTTCTGGCCCTACATATTTTACTCCAGAGGCTCTGGTTGGAGCCCACCTGTCCTGCCACCAGACAAGCCCACAGAAGGAGTTTTGATTAAAAACCCACTTTAAAAATCCAGAAGCAGGTTGTCCTAGAACTTCCCCTCTAGCTGGTAATGCAGGGATGCCTCAATCAGCTACAAAGTTCTGCTCAAGAAGGAAACAGTTTAAAAAGCTCTGAAGTGTAAGGAAACATGGGATTTGGAATTTGTGTGTATATGTGCTGGAGGACTTCCCATCTGCAACATAAACCCCCTCTCCCCCAATAAATAATAGGCTCTAATAGCAGTCCTGATTTGGGCAAGTCCTGAGGCATAGTGACTTAGCAACTGCTTGACAGCCGGCGTCCCCTTGGGTCCTATATCTGATCTTCTCTTCCCTCCCCTGATGTCCCCATAGTTTTAGAGCTAGTCAAGGACCTTGACTTGGAGAAAAGTGGCAGATTCTTTTATGCAGACTTTAGCACCATGGCAACCAGTCCTCATTGTGGGGATCAGTCACTTAGTGCTGCTGATGTCACCACAGCGACCAATCCAGGCAATGAAGCACAGTTGCCATGGTGACAGGAGGCAGAAGATGTTTCCTTGGAGAGCATGAGGGTCTGGATTCCCGCCTGCCCCCCCCCCCCCCCGCCCTCCAAGGTTCAGGCTGTCTCCTGGTAGAGTGCATGGCCAGCTGGAAGTACTCAGCTCTAGGCAATTGCCCAGTCCAAGCTATCACAGTGTCCCCTAGATCAAAACAATACTTCCTAACAGGCCTGTCGGTTCCACTCTGGCCCTCTATCAATACATTATCCAGCAGTGCTAGGGTGGTCTTTTATTTTTTAAAGATTTTATTTATTTATTTATTTATTTATTTATTTATTTATTTATTTATTTGACAAAGAGAGAGAGAGTGTGTACAAGAAGGGGGAGCGGCAGGCGGAGGGAAAGGGGGAAGCAGACTCCCTGCTGAACAGAGGGCTGGATGTGGGGCTCAATCCCAGGACCCTGGGATCATGACCCAAGCCAAAGGCAGACACTTAACCGACTGAGCTACCCAGGCGCCCCTAGGGCGGTCTTTTAAAATTGTACACCACATAATTCTGTTCATTTCCTTAAAATCCCTAGTGATTTTCTTCTGCTCTTTGTATAAAATCTAGACTCTTTGCTACTAACTGCAAGGCCGCAGTAGCCAGTTCTGGGCCTACTTCTCCAACTGCATTTCCTACCACTGGCTGCGCTGTTTGTTCCTCTAATGTGCTATTTTATTTATTTATTTATTTATTTATTTATTTACTATTGTGCTATTTTAGAACCAAAAATACAATAACCAAAATTAAAAACTTAATGCTCAATAACAGAATAAGAATACAGAAAAAAAATATCAATTAACTTGAAGATGGAATAATAAAAGTGATCCAATCAGAACAACAGAGAGAAAAACATTGGGGAAAAAAACCAAGAGCCTCAGGGACCTGTGGGACAATGCTAAAAGTCTAACGAGCATGTCATTGGAGTCCCAGAAGTAGAGGAGAAAAGGGGTAGTTCATTAAAAATATTTGAAGAAATAATGGCTGAAAACTTCCCAGATTTGTCAAAAGCCAGAAACCTACAGATCCAATAAGTTCAGTGAACTCCAAATGAAACCAGCAACCAAAGGATTAATGGGGCAGATAAGCACAGGTACAACTTTTTCTGAGAATGGGTCTGCCACCCTGTTTCTATAAGATAACATCCTGGCCTGACACCCTGATAACCATGTGTTGACTTAGTTTTGCAGAGACCCAAGTTTTCAGTAAGAAGCTGGCCAGAACCAGTCAGGACCAATGGCCACCTCTTTGACATGAAAGAGCAAAATGAAATGAACGTCTCCTACTTAGTAACTGCCTTTATTTTTTTTCTTTTCCAAGTTTTTATTTAAATTCATTGGTTAATGTACAGTGTAATATTAGTTTCAGGTGTAGAATTTAGTGATTTAGCACTTACATACAGCACTTGTTGTGATCACAACAAGTGCCCTCCTTAATACCCATCACCCATTTAGCCCATCCCCCCATGCACTGCCCCTCCAGACACCCTCAGTTTGTTCTCTAGAGTAAAGAGTCTGTTTTCTGGTTTCCTTCTCTCTTTTTTCCCCCCTCTATGTTTATCTGTTTTGTTTCTTAAATCCCACATATGAGTGAAATCATACGGTATTTGTCTTTCTTTGACTGACTTATTTTGCCTCATATAATACTCTCTAACTTCCTTTATTTTGGGGTCATGAAGCTTCTTTCTCCTTTACTGAGACCCTTTTCTGCTTGCCTTTAAAAATCCCTGACTCTCCCCCTTTGGGGAGGGAAAT